CCCGCACGGTTTTGTTTTTGGGCTGCTTCCCATTTGACCAATTGAAAAAAATTCCAATATTGGAAAAAGTTAGGAACATAAACTTGCATGCATTCACATGCTGGATGGTTACCATCCTAGTTGCATGTAGCATTTTCACCACATAAGTCATGATTCTTGCATTGATCTCGCTCCCAAGTTGAGACAACTTTTCAGGTCTAGTCTTTGAACCACATAAGTCAAAAAGTCAAATGAATAGACATCAAAGGAAGAAAACCAAAATTGTGTAATATATATGTGTTGGGTCCGATAGTTCACATGCTGGATGGTTACCATCATAGTTGCATGTAGCATTTTCACCACATAAGTCATGATTCTTGCATTGATCTCGCTCCCAAGTTGAGACAACTTTTCAGGTCTAGTCTTTGAACCACATAAGTCAAAAAGTCAAATGAATAGACATCAAAGGAAGAAAACCAAAATTGTGTAATATATATGTGTTGGGTCCGATAGTCCACGTGTTGGTCCATCATAGTATAATATTGTCCGCTTTGGGCTAGGCCCGCACGGTTTTGTTTTTGGGTTGCCTCCCAAAAGGCCTCATATTATATGGAATGGTGGACACCCTTATAAACTAGCCAATGTTCCTTCATTTTACAGATGTGGGACTTGGGATGAATCCCAACAATATGGAATTCAATTAATGTGATTGAGAAAATTGTGGAAGAAAACCATAAACAATGCAGAGAACCATGGATGAAATACCTCGGAAACCTCACGTGAACTATGGAAGAAACAATCGAGACTTATACTCCAGCCTCTTTTCTCACGTAACCCATGTAATCCCTAACAGTTTTCTGAAACAAAATGTTAATTTTGTTTTAATTCAGCTTGAACCTTGAGAATTGTCAGAAGCCGTGTGTGAAAACTGTTCTTGTGTAGCTTGTGCAAATTTAGATATTTGTGGTCAGGAAAGTGGTTGTCTACTGGATTTAATTATCTGGTTGGCTTGAGGAAGTTTTTCAATGGGGACGTGAATGAGAGAAGAAATATGAAACAGAGGATAAGAACACATGTGTGAGGGAACGAATAGGTGAACCAAATGTAAGTCAACTACACATGAAAATTAACAAATTCATGTTAATAAGATCGGTGAATCTTTATTTGTTTCGATGCAATAATAGATTTTTAATTTTAACAAATAGTTTTGTTTTTTGGATAATTGGTATTCTTTTTTTTTATGAAATGGATTGATTTTCTATTAATTTGGATACACGAAAATAATTTGATTAAATGTAGTATACATATTCAATCAAATAAGTACATTATGTTAGAAGAAATTCTATAAGTAAAATCTTTCTTATTTTTTTGTTTGTTACTTGTTTATATTATTTAGGTAGAATATTGCTGTCAATTTTGTTTTAAATATAAATTAAAGTAATGTGACTTTCGTGATTGGAAAGACAGAAATAGAGGACTCATAAATTAATACATAAATTAAGAAATATAATTAATATTTTAGATTTAAAACATTTTATATTTTGATCCGTAAAAAATTATGCATTTTATTAATATATGTCTTGTTTTTTTAGTATTAACTATATTTATGACTGGTGTGATACATAGGCGAAACAAATTGTATGACACACACACAATTTTTTATATTATATTTAATGGTACTGAATTTTTTACTCACCAATTATGACTTAACCACATGTTTTATAAGTTCAGCGTAGAAATTATCCTTTTAAAAAAAAATACCCAACATAGGTGACAAATTCATAATTAAGTTGATATTACACACCATAAGAGAAAATGCTTACTTCTTTTTGGAGTAATATTTTTATGACACGGGCCAAAAGCTTCTTCATAAAAATAGCATTGAACATAATTCTATATTTTGTCATTTTTATCATATTTAGTTATTTACTGTTTTCTTGAGGGAGAAAAAACCACACAACAATTACTCCGTGGGAAGAGAAAGACAAAAACATGTAGTTATTTGAAATAAATCAACCTCTATTCATGAAAATATGGTTTGTTGTTGATCCTACAATGTGGAATGTGTTTATGGTTAAGTGTTTATGATCGGAATGTAAATTCGCATATGAAATTTTAAATGGCTAAAAGCCTAAAGATAATTATATAATTCTTAAAATTAATTTCAAGAAATATTAAATATTTTACATATTTTCAATATGTTGAATTATGCCACATATATAAGAGCATTTTTTTTAGGAAAAGTTGAAAAGTGAAAATAAAAATAGAACAGCGGTGAGCCGGTGATGTATTTAAAAAAAAAAAGTTACAAAACGAAGCCCCGGGTTTAATAGTAAATAAAAAAAATAATATATACACCTTTTTTTATAAAAAAAAATCTTAAATACTCTTCTAATTTATTCTCTTTTTAAAATAAATTTTAGTTCTAAAAGATTATCTTTTTCATTCTCTTATTCTTTTGGTTAAATACCTCTTTTGATACCTTATAATGTTTTTTTGTTTCAATTTAGTCTCACTTTAATTTTTGGTCTCAATTTGGTCTCCAATAACTTAAATTAGTGCAATTTGGGACTTCCGTCCAAATGATCTAGACGGAGTTAACTGTTGGTCACGTGGCATCTACGTGGATGCCACGTGGATGCGCACGTGGACACCAAAATTCTAAAAAAACCTGAAACCAGAACGGCCCGTTCTGAAACCAGAACGGCCCATTCTGAAACCAGAACGGGCCGTTCTGCTTTTAGAACGGGTCGTTCTGCTTTTAGAACGGGTCGTTCTGAATTCAGAACGGCTCGTTCCAGAACGCCATGCTTTTTATTGTATTTTTTTTATTATATCTATATTAATAAATATATAATAAATAAAAATACAATAAATTAATATTCATTTATGAATAAAACTAAAAAAAATCAAATAAGATAAGACCTTCCAAAATATTTTTTTGATTTGAATTTATCCAGTTCAAAATCTTGACTAAAATGCCGTAATGTATTTCAAAAATTGAAAATAAAATTCAGGGTTTAGGGGTACCTCCTCAAGAACAGGTTGTTATTGTTGGGGTACATCGTCAATGACTTCAAGGAAAAACACTGTTTCGTTTTATCATTGACTGTATAGTGTCAATTTGGTAATAAGTGGTTCACTCCAGTTTGACTAACAATGAAATAAAACTTGTTATCATTGTCCTTAGTGATACACTGCATTATCGTTAATGATATACTGTATAGCCCAAATGTTTAGCAATTGAAGTTATTAATCCTCATTAACAATATTACCAAATCTAGTATTTGAAATGCTTTGTATTTTAGTTTTTTTGCGCACGAAATTCTAGACTAGAACGGCCTGTTCTGAAACTAGAACGGCCCATTCTGGTTACACTGTTGGTGTGTTAATTTTGGACCTGGAACGGCCCGTTCCAGGTGCAAATTTTACACACCAATAGTGTAACCAGAACGGGCCGTTCTGGTTCCAGGTGTATTCAAGTTTTTTTTGATCCACCTGCGTGGCATCTACGTGGCATCCACCTGGCATCCACGTGGCCACCAGTTAACTCCGTTTAAATCATTTAGACGGAAGTCCTAAATTGGAACGATTTAAATTATTGGGGACCAAATTGAGACCTAAAATTAAAGTGAGACTAAATTGAAACAAAAAAATATTGTAAGGGACCAAAAGAGGTATTTAACCTATTCTTTTTTTATACTCATTTCCTTTACTACTTTATCTTTCTTTAAGAGCATCTGCAATGGGGGTTGCTTATAAGCAACTCCCTGTGCCACATCACTGCCAAATTAGCTCTGACCCACTTTATGGATTGCTTAAATTTTAGCAACCCATAAAGTGGGCCAGAGCTGATTTGGCAGTGATGTGGCACAGGGAGTTGCTTATAAGCAACCCCCATTGCAGATGCTCTAACTACTTTTGTTAATTTTTCATTTATACTTTTTTTGTTTTTATTTTATAGTAATCAAGTCGGTCATAGCTCATTTTTAATATTTTTAAATTTTATTTTTTGCACTCTTAATTTCATCATTTTTTCTAATTTTAATATTTACTTCATCTTTAATATTACATCCATTAGATTTAAGGTTGTAAATTTTTTGAAGGCGTCATTTTAACATATATGATCATTGATTTTATGAAGAATGATTGATTAGAATTTTTTTTTATTTTTATTATTACATGATGTAATTTCTGAAATTGTGTTTTGTAGTTCTTAAAATATACTTAAAAATATTTTTTTTTAAATATATTTACTTTTTTGAAAAGTATTTTTCAAAAGCATGTTTTATAAGATATTTTCAAAAATAAAAATATACTTCCAAAAACTTTTTGAAAGAGTAAAATTGTAGAGTATTAAAAAAAATAAAGATATATTCTTAATCATCGAAACAGTATTCAACAAAAGCATACATAAAATGGTAAATGAAAATATAAAACAGTGAAAAAGTTACAACAGATACTAAAATTAAAAAAACAAAAAAAATTACAAAGGTAAAAAGTTAGACAAAAATAATTTAGAAACAAAAAGAAAAAATCAAATATACTTCAAGATATTTAAATTTAAAAAGATGATTTATTTTTAATGCAAATGTATTTGATCGAATTTTTTTTGTCCATGGATCTATCAGCCCATTTAAATTATAAATACTAGCAACAAAATAGGCATTATGTGTCTCCAGGGAAAAAAAAAATGGGCATATGAAAAAAAATTGGGTAATTACTTTCAATAAAGTGAACAGTTACTTTTTTTCTTTTTTTCTTTTTTTTTTTAAAAAAAGTTATTTATTTTTTAATATAAAATAAAAATATAGATGTTTTTAAAAAAGTGGAGACAGATGTATCTAATAGAATATTTATTTCATGATTGAGTTTTATTGGAGAGAAAAAAATACATATTCCAAAACACTGAAGGAAAGAGTAACTTCATCTATCTTTTCTGTTAGGCTAAAAGATTTTTGTCTCTTATAATATTTGTTTATTTTAATTTAGTCTTACTTTTATTTTTTGTGTCAATTTGATCCTTAATAAATTAATTGGTTGCAATGTCGGACTTTTGTCCAAATTATTTAGAAGGAGTTAACTATTGGCCACGTAAATGTCACGTGGAAGCTACGTAGATGTCACGTGGATGTCAAATTTTGTCACGCATCTGGAACCAGAATGGCCCGTTCTGAAACCGGAACAGCCCGTTCCGGTTGCACTCATGGTGTGTAAATTTTGCTTCTGGAACGGCCCGTTCCAGATGCATTATTTAATACCAACGTGTGCATCAGAACAGAAAATCAAAACGGGTCATTCTAGCTTCCAAAACGGGCTGTTCTGGATTCAGAACACGCCGTTCCAGAATGCCAACCAACATAGTGCACCAG